AAGTCCAAGTGTGGAAGTCAGAAGACAACTTGTAGGAATCTGTTTTCCCCTACTAGGTAGGTCCTGGGATCAAAGTCACATCCTCAGGCTTGGTGGCAAGCATCTTTACCCCCTGAGCCATCTCATCAGCTCCTTTTGGTCTATGTCAGTAAACCTTTTTGGGCCAACTCTGCACATTCACTTGCTTCATGCCCAAAAGTGCTGAAACATCTGGATTTAAAAAGAAATAACAAGCTGGGTGTGATGGCTCATGCCTTTAATCCTGGCACTCTGAGAGGCAGAGGCAGGCTGATCTCTATGAGTTTAAAGCCAGCCTGTTGTACAAAAAGAGTTCCAAGACAGCCAGGGCTACACAGAGAAATCCTGTCTCAAAGAAGAGAGAGAGATATAACAAAATGGACCGTGAGCTAGTCTTAAAAATATTCACTTGTTTATTTTTATGTAGATGAGTGTTTTGCCTGAATATATGTATATGTACCCTGTGAATGCCCTGTGTCCAAGGAGACCAAAAAGGACACCAGATACCCTAGAACTGAAGTACAGACAGTTGTGAGCCACCATGTGGATACTAGAAATCAAACTTTGGTCCTCTAAAAGAACATGTACTCCTAACTGGTATTTTTTTTTTTTTTTTTTTTTTCAAAACAGGATTTCTCTGTGTAGCCTTGGCTGGTCTGAACTTGCTTTGCAGACCAGGCTGACCTTGAACTCACAGAGACAAGCCTGTCTCTGCCTCCCTGAGTGCTGGGATTACAGGCATGCTCTACCACCACCTGTCTGATAATGTGTTTTAACCAATAAGGGAGATGCTGTTTCTGGTTGTTGTTGGTTTTGTTGGTTTGGTTTAGTTTGGTTTGGTGGTGGTGGTAGTTTTTTTTTTTGAGACTAGGTCTCACTTTGTAGCTCTGACTGTCCTAGAACTCACTATGCAGACCAGGCTGGCTTCAAACTCACAGAGATCCACCTGCCTCTGCTTCCAGAGTGCCGGGGTTGAGGGTGTGTGCCACTGTGCCCGGCTGAGATGCTGTTTCTGAAGGTATCCTTGCACTGTGTCTGCCAGCCGAGGCCCACTAAGCAGTAACCTACATCTATGGCACCTGGCACTATAGGGTGGGGACAAGCCAGGTTCATGGTCATCACCTTTATTCTGTAGTAATACTTCTATTTCTGGAAGCTTCATCATGTCTTCAGGAAGAGCGGAAGTAAGGGGTCCAGGGCTGACTGGTCATGGAGTCTCCCCAGACTGTGTCGGATCTGAAAGAACTCGAACATGATCTCGGTGACGACAAATGAGGCCGATGTGTACTTTGGCTACTGTTTACCTCAGGAGGCTGTGGACTTTTGACTATTGTGACGTTCGTTCAGATCCATAATTTTAGTAAAGATTAACTCGGTCTCAGCTGAGGACTGTCCAGTTTACCCTGTTCACCCTCGGTGAAGGTAGGGGAATGTGGAAGTCTGTCCACTTTATGTGCAGGTGCTGAGCTTTGTTACTGTGACGAAACACCAAAGGCTGAGTCCTTTATTCAGGAGAGAGGGTTACGTACCTTACACTTTTGGAGTTTTAAGGGTGTAACAATGGTATTGGCTTAGCTCTGTTCAAGATCTCATGGAGGATGTGACACAATGGTGGGAAAGAGAGAGAAGGGATAGACTCAGGCAGTGAGACAGGAAGCAGGATTAAAAAGAAAGAAAGAAGGGACTGGAGAGATAGCTTGGTGGTTAAGAGCACTTGCTGCTCTTCCGGAGGACCTGGGTTCTATTCCCAGCACCTACATGGCGGCTCACAATCATTCATAGCTCCAGTTCCAGGAGCTTTGGGCAGATACAGGTGGGTCTCCAGACATCCAGGCAGGCAAACACCATACATAAAAACTGTTCTGAAAAAGAAATAAAGAGTACCAGGCATGGTGGCGCACATCTTTAATCCCAGCAGAGGCAGGTAGATCTCTGTGAGTTCAAGGCCAGCCTGGTCGACAAAGAGAGCTCTAGGACAGCCAGGGCTGGTACACAGAGAAACCAAACAAGAAAGAAAGGAAAGAAAGAAATGGAAAAGGAGCCAGTAACGACTCCTCACCAGACTTTGCCTCTTGGAGGCCCTGCCACCCTTAGCACAGCCACACTGGATTGCAAGCTTCCAACGGGAGCCTTTAGGGAGACACATTTTAATCCGAATCAGCCCCACCCCGTGAGAAGACACCCAAGGTCGACCGCTGTGGCAGATGCAGTGTCCTCAGGGCTTGACTAATTTGTACGCCTGTGTAGCCACAAGCGCCGTTTCCCTATGAGGCGCTGGCCACAGATTCTCCAGGCCTCTAATTCCAGCCCTCAGTAGATGGAAGCAGGAGCATCCAGAGCTCAAGGCCAACCGTAGCTACATAACAAGTTTCAGGCCACTTTACCTAAAAAAACAAAAACAGCTATAGCAAGATGGCTCGGATGTGGGGCTAAAGGAAAGCCGCAGCATTAAAGAGTGTGTGTGGCTCTTCTGAGGACCTGAGTTCAGAGGATTATGTCAGGTACCTCACTACAGCGTGTGACGGCCTCTGGTGCCTTTTTTTTTTTTTTTTTTTTTTTTTGGCCTCAGGAGCCACTTCTACCCACATACAGATAATGTGAGATCTGTGTGACCCCATTTCTGAAAAAGAAACTCTGTCTTGAGGGTAAACGACCTGGGCTTGAACTCAAGTTTCAAAAAAAGGAGAAAAACCCACAAAAATGTGTTTTGACCACTCACCTCTGGTAATGATCAGCCATCACCTCTGGCAATGGCCGATCAGTGACTACCTGGAGTTTACCCAGGTGTTCTTTACAGTTTGGCCCTTCAGGCAAACAACTTCCTCCGGACACCTGATGTTTGCTAAATGTCAACCAATCAAATAACTGCTAAGCTGGAAGTTCCCAAACCTTGCTGAAACCCTAAATAAAAACCCTCTCTCCCTGAGCTCGGAGCTCTACACTTGAGAACCACTGTGCAGGTGACTTTGTGGGCCTGAGTTCGAGCTTGTAATAAAGACCCTACTGTGTTTGCATTGGACTCGACTCCTTGGTGGTCTTTGGGGTCCGAGAGACTTGGGCATAACAATATACATGTAATTAAAAATAAAAAATAATGCCAGGTGAGAAGGCACATTCCTTCAATCCCACCACTCGGGAGGCAGAGGCAGGTAGATCTCTGAGTTCAAGGCCATTCTGGTCTACAGAGGGAGTTCCAGGATGGCCAGGGCTACACAGAGAAACCCTGACCTGAAAAAACTCAAAAGAATTAAATTCAATTTAAAAAAGAAAAGAAGAGATGCCTCATCAGGTAAAGGCACTGTCTCCAAGCCCGATGAACTATGTATGCATGATCCTTAGGTCCAACATGATAAAAGGAGAGAGCCAACACCTCCAAGTGTTCCTCTGACATCCACATATGTGCCATGACACTCATGAGCCTCTAAACACACAATAAATAAAAATGCAATAAACTTTAAGGAAAAAAACGCCCAGTTTGCGACAGTGATGGCTTTGAGTCTCAGCACCTTTTTCTACGTGGCTCGTAAGAGCACCCTTGAACACTCCTCTGCTGAGTACTGACTCCAACTGAGGTGAGCTTCCGTCTCCTCCCTGCACTCTAGCAAGTCTGCCCTGTGCACGGCAGCTGTGCAGGGACTCGGCTGACCTCTCAACAGAACACACTTCTCCACTGTTACTGTCAAGCGAGACAGTGCGTTCTCGTGGCTGTGACACACCTCTCAGGAGGATCCCTGTGCGTGAGGGCGCCACAGACCCCCTGCTGGGAGCCACGAGCCACATTAGAGCATGTATATTAACCTCCTCCTCATATAGCGCTTACACAATCTCTTCTGTCGCTACCATTTTTATCAGGACCCTTTTACTGGGATTTTTCTAGCTTGTTTACCTCAGAAGTAATGAAAACTTCACTACATATTAATTTAGTGGCAGATGTTTGACTGCCACTACAGGTTACAGTAGGCCCCAATGTTGACCTTTTAGCAGATTTTCCCCCACCCAGAGGTCAAGGAAGAACATACCACACAACAGTTCGTGGGTGTTACCTGTTTTCTAGCTTGTCATTATGTGTTGGGGAAAATGAGGAATGACTAGATTTTTCAATCCAATAGCCTTTTTATTAATTCAGAAGCCACTCTGTGTTATTCAGGTCATGAATGGTTTCAGCAAACTAATTTGGGACTACACAAAGAACAAAGCAGTCACATTGAACTACAGTTTTTCCTGGCTGTCACAATGCCAATTCACAGACACGTCTGAATTAAAAGTCAACTGCTGTGGGCATTCAGGCCAAAGTTCAACCTTTGGACATTGGGACAAGACAATGTCATCTACAACACTTGTACTGGAAAACTGTGTAGTTGACCAAAAACACCCCACTGTATAATATTTTTAAGTAGGTTTATGGTTTTTTGTTAGGCTTTGCTCACAGCTGCGGGAGGGTGTGTGTGTGTGTGTGTGTGTGTGTGTGTGTGTGTGTGTGTGTGTGT